CTCCTCCTCCTCCTCCTCCTCCTCCTCCTCCGCCACTGCCTCCTCCACCTCCGCCACTTCCACCACCTCCGCTCCCACCGCCACCGCCGCCGCCGCCTCCGCCTCCACTGTTGCCGCCGACACCTCCACCCCCGCCACCACTCCCACCACCACCCCCACCCCCTCCACCGCCTCCGTCTCCACCGCCTCCACCGCCCCCTCCAGCTCCTCCAGTGCCCCTGCCCCCCTTGCCCTTGCCAGAGCGAAGCTTCCCACTAGGGGTAGACGCCGTACGGACCGACTCCAGACCAACGAGGTCGATCGCAGCAGCAGAGGCAACAGAGGGCAAGAGAGGGGAGGGAGAATACCCCTCAAAGATGGGGGTGCGCGGGTCACCATGAGAGGCCCCTACAGCGACTATGCTCTTCTCCGCTGCTAGGAGGGCCTTCTCGAGGAGGTCAACAGTGAGAGTGGTGGGACAGACTGGTAGAAAGTGGTTCCTGACTACGCGAAGGGAGTCAGGGAGACGGGTGAGTATGTAGTAGAGAGTGATGTACTTTGGGGGGGGGGGTTCTTGGCGCAGAAGTCAGCAGGAAGCGCAGCGTGGTAGCGAGTGTCACTAGTGCGGAGGTGCGTAATGAGGTCAGCGAGTGTGGGAAAGGCAGCAAGGTCAGGGAAGAGGTATGGTAGTATGAGGCGGCTCAGTGCAGCAGTGGCAGGGGAGGAGTAGCGTGCAACTACAGCGTCGTACAAGGTCTGAGCACTCTTATACTGGATAAAGTGCGCAGGCTCAGAGGTAGGAAGGTGGCGATGCACAGGAAGACGTGCAGCAGCATCGCGGGTGGCCCACTGTGAGCGAACAGTAGCGTCAGCATCAGCAGCAGGGGCAGAAGAGGCACCGGAGGTGAGGTCAAAGAGGGAGAGTCTGTCTGCCCTATCGCACTGTAAGAAAAGCTGCAGGTCATCTATCCAGACGTCAAAATCAATGGCCCGACCCTCAGCGTCAAGAGCGAGGACACTAGGGGTAGCCATGACAGTAGTAGACCAGCAGCGCAAACAGTAGGGTGAGGGCAGTGCTGAGAAAGAGACGCTGCTCTTACCAGACAGGGCGGCTCGGGCGACTCGGCGGCGCGGGCGGCTCGGCTGTTGGGCGGCTCGACTGCTGGGTGGCTCGGGTGCTGGGCGGCTCGGCTGCTAGGCGGCTAGGCTGCTGGGCGGTTCGGCTGCAGGGCGGCGCGGCGGTCGGCTGCTCGACTGGGTATGGCGGCTGGGGCAGCTCGGGTGGCGGGCGGCGCTGCAGCAGGCGATGGGGCCGCAGGTAAGGGCGGCGGGGCCGCAGGTAAGGTGGCGGGGTCGCAGGTAAGGGCGGCGGGGTCGCAGGTAAGGCGGCGGGGCCGCAGGTAAGGCGGCGGGGCCGCAGGTAAGGTCGCGGGGCCGCAGCAGCAGGCGAGAGGGCCATAGGTAAGGTGGCGAGGCCGCAGGTAAGGTGGCGGGGCCGCGGCATCAGGCGACGGGGCCGCAGGTAAGGTGGCGGGGCCGAAGGTAAGGTGGCGGTGCCGCAGGTAAAGGGCGGCGAGGCCGCAGGTAAGGTGGCGGGACCGCAACAGCAGGCGACGGGGCCGCAGGTAAGGTGGCGGGGCCGCAGGTAAGGGGCGGCGGGGCCGCAGGTAAGGTGGCGGGGCCGCAGCGAAGGGCGGCGGGGCCGTAGGTAAGGTGGCGGGGCCGCAGCGAAGGGGCGGCGGGGCCGCAGGTAAGGTGGCGGGGCCGCAGGTAAGGTGGCGGGGCCGCACCGAAGGGGCGGCGGGGCCGCAGGAAAGGTGGCGGGGCCACAGGTGAGGGCGGCGCAAGGGCGGCGACGGGCCGCTTAGGGTGGCGACGGGCCGAGAGAGGCCTAGGACGGGCGCGACGGTAGAGAGAGCATACGAGGCGCGGCTCGGGCCTAAGCGAAGCGCCCTCCGGGCAGGAATTTTTTTTTTGACTTGGTGGGCCCTAGGAACAGTTCCCACGAGGGAACCTGCTTGATACCATGAGAAGAAACGAGAATAAATGAACTATGAATGAGTTGGGTACAAGTACTAACCCTAATTGGGTTGTACCCCTTATGGGCTCTATAGCCTACACAACATGCATGAGCTATAATGTTCTGACATGGCGCAGCCCGTACGGGCCGCGCGCAGGCTGTACGGGCCGCACACACGCCACGACAGGCGACGGTGGGCGACGCGCGGGTCCCCTTTGCCCGTCGCAGCGCCTCCTGGGAGCGACGCGCTGCGTGACGGGGCAGAAAACCGGCGCACGCTCCGAGCGCGTGGCGGGATGAAAAATCTGTTGCATGCCACGGGGCGTGCAACACAGAGAGTAGCAGTAGCAGCGGAAGCAGTGAGGTGGGGCCCACAGGCCAGGAGCATATCGTTCTGATACCATGTGAAGATAAGCAGTAGAAGAAGGCGCCATAGCTAGGAAAGCCCTAGCTAGGCAAGAAACAGTTTAGGCAAAGAGGAGGTTCACTAGCAGGAATGAGGATACAAATAGAAAACCCTAAAAGGGTTGTACTCGCTATAGAGCACCCCACTACAGGCTAGAGCATAACATTCTGACACGGCGAACCCACCCCACAGAGCAGCGGAAGGTGTCGGGAAGGTCCATGCGAGTGGATGTTGCCACATTTGTGCGTGTAATATAACATCGCGGAGTGAATGTTTCCAGAATCGTGTCTGTTACTTGTCCGAGTTTACCACCACCACTGAGGGTGACGTATGCATACTGTGTTAACGTTGTTGCGTTTAAATCTAGCCGTGGCAACGTACACGTGGCAAACCTGGGCCAAGGGTCGTGAATTTGGTGCACAAAGAGCCGGAACGACGCGGCGGAGAGTCATGCGCAAAAATGTGCGCGACGCCAAAAACTTTTCCGCCACATTTTTTCACGAACCTTGACCATAGCCTTGAAAAAGAGATGCCCACGGGCAACATCTGTTGTTAGTAAGCACAGGTGTATGTTTTCTCAACTGGCCACCCACCCACAATCTGCACGGTGCGCATATAAGCTGGGTGCAACTGGCCGGTAAAAAAAACACGTGGGTAGAGTTTAAAATGGAGAATGTAAAATTCGCGCACAGGGGCTGAGCATCGTGTGTACCTCTCGTGTGAATGTCGTCCATCCTTGCAGAACGAGATGTCTGGGGAATTTTGTTCGCGCCCCTGGAACCGTAGCAGCCCATACACAAAAGTACCAAAACACACAAAACCATGCTAAAACCTTTTATATCTGCACATACGTCAGCTTCCGCTGCCAGATCGGCGCTTCTCAGCTCCGTGGCATTGCTCACTCATGCCATTTGCGGTCGCGGCAGCCCTCCCTTCCATTTCCGCTGCGGCGGCGCGGACAGGTTGGCTGCTTCTGCAATCAATCTGTCCTGTCCCTGCGCGCGTGATGTTTCTGCCCAAGGGATTCGAGGGGAGAAGCATGTCTCCCTCCCTCCTCGTCGCTTTTCACCTCTCTTCGCCTCTCTTCTTCCCTTCCCGCCCTTCTTAGCCTTCCTTAGCCACTCTTAGCCCATTCCCATCAACGTCCCTCATCTGCTTTTCTATACCTCCCTCCCTCCCTCTCACCTTCCCTCAATCTCGCCCTCCCAGTTTTCCCTACTTCTCAACTCAACAACCCCCTCCCAAATCGGCGGGGACTGTACGTGTCTCGAGGAAACAGAAGGCGGTTTAGTTTTACGCTGTGAAATAAGAATACGCTGACACTGGAGCATCTACAACCAACGAGCAGCGTGCTGACTTGGCTTGACATTATATCCCCTCCGCGTAAGACGCGTGGAGTTGCAGCACCAGCTGAAAGACATGCCCCAATCGGAGGTCGCGTGCGCGACGAGGCCGCCAGTTTTAGCCACGAGAGAATCGATTTCTTATGTTAGTAGCAACAGCTCTCACTCAGTCGTTAACGCGGATGCGCCGTTGCTGCCTCAATCGCTCTCTCCGCGGGGTCACGCGGGCACGCACTCGCGCCTCCCCTCGTGGGGAATGGAGGTGCGCGAAAACGCGGTTAGCTTGCGCGGACACGCGGAGGGCTTGCGCGGGCACGCTTCTAACGATTCGCCGCAGCCTAGCGGACACGATAGTGCAAGCTTCGATAGCAGGAGCAGCACTAACAGAGATAGGGCTTCTAGCAGCATCACAGGCAATAGCGCTGGCCAATCACGCGCGTCTGATTCAACCACTCGCGCCTCCGACGCTTCCTCACGCGCAACTGAAGCTTCCTCCTCGCGCTCCCCGTCGGCGCTAGCCCAGCGTCGAGCTAGACCGCCGCGACTCCAGCTCCCCGCGCCTCCCGGCAGCAGCGCAGTCAGCGCAAGCGGGGGCGCCAGCGGCAGCGGGAGCGCCAGCGGCCGTGGAAACGTCAATGGCGGTGGGAACGGCAGCGGAAGCCGCATCTCCCTCTCCTGCGCGCCGGCATCTGCGCGGTTATCCCCCGCGGGCCCGTGCGCTGCCTCCCCCCGCTCCGCCGTTCCCTGGTCCCCGACGAGCTCCCCGTGTTCCGCACCCCCGACTCTTTCCCGCCCCGCGCGCTCCGCCGCCGCTTCCGCCTTTCCCTGCTCCCCCGCAAAACCCGCCGTCGGCGCGTCAGACCCGTTCGGGTTTGCGAGCCCGCAAAGCACGCCTAGCGAGACGCCTCGGGATATGGTTGCTCCGTCTCCAAGGGCCCGCGGGAGCGGCGCTTCGCGAAGATCCCGCGAAGGGGCTCTGCCTGCGCGCGCGCACCGGTCCGGCGGGTTGGCAGGCGAAGCGGTGGTGGCGAAGGTGACCGCGCTTCGACTGGATGACGTGGCGGAGGTTTATTCGTCGGATGAAGAGTTTCTAGACATGTTTTGCGAACGCGACTCCGACATTCGCGATGACTTACGCGAACAAGGAGTGCCCGACCACACTGGCGGCTCGCACGGCGTCGCAGGGCAACACTCGTCGACGGCGGTAGCAAGCCCCTCTGCGACTGGTGCGACTGTTTCCAAATCGTCGTCGATGTCGCAGTTGTCGCAGCGCTTCGTCATACCGCATTCGCACACCGTGCCACTTCCGCCGCCGTCTCCTGTGGGCGCGCGGAGGGCGCTGCGGAAGGCATTTAGCCACAACGACGAGAAGAACGTCCGCGCGATCGGCGGAAACGGTCGGCGCAACTCCCGCTTGGCGCAGGCGAAGGCGGGTGGCGCAACTCCCGCGCATGCGAGCGGGTTTCACTGCTACGCGGTAGAGGAGTCCCCGCGCATCCCCGCGCATAGCTGCGCGGAAGGGCCCGCGGAAGATCTCGCGGAAGGGCCCGCAGAAGGTCTTGCGGAAGTGTCCGCGCACAGAGGCTCGTGGGTTGATCGCAACGATGCTGGAGACGATAACGCTACTTCGCGTGGCGGTTCGTGGAATAATTCTGACCGTTGGATCGACGATGCGGACGATTGGATGCCTCCCACGTCAAGACGGCAGCAGCAGCAGACGCAACAGCAACAGCAACAGCACCAGCAGCAGCAGCGGCGGGATCTTCAAAAGCAGGGGTCGATCCAGGGAAGTCGAGGTGCTTTAAGATCCGGAAGCCGCGCTGCGGATAGCGCCCATCCCGTGCCGGCCGATGCGGTACCCGGCGCAGCGGCGCAGATCAACTCCGGAATGGCGCAAACTCACCCCGCAGCGCGTTTCTCGCCACGCACGATTCGCGAGACGACCGCGTCTATAAGCGGACGATCGCGCAGCTCGTCGGATCTGCAGCGCGCCGCCAATACCTCCGCGCTTCTCCCGCCGTTTCCCGCTTCCCCGTCCGCCGGTTCCCCATCTGCCGCTTCCTCGTCCACCGCTTCCCCGTCCGCCGCTTCCCCTTACCCTGCATTCCCAACCTCTCTCTCCACCCCCTCTGCGCACCCCTCACTCGCTCTCGTCTCCCCTTCTTCCTCCTCTTCCGCCGGCCCCTCCCCTTCTTCCGCTTCCTCCTCCCCTTCATTTTCCGCCTTCCCGCGACCTTCCGCGCTCGCATGTCGTATTACTAGACCCGCCGCCGCCAGTACTGCACGATCCGCGGCGGTTCGAGCCGCGGCGGTTGTTCCAACATCCCCTCGCTATTGTCCCACATCGCCACGTCACGAACCGCTTTCACCGCGTCAGGAACCACAATCCTCGCCACGTCACAGACCGTCTTCGCCACGTTGCTTCCCCATTTCGCCAGATCAGCAGGCCCCCGTCTCACCTCGTCATTTACCCGCTTCTCCACGTCACTGTCCCTCGTCCCCACGTCACCTCCCTACATCTCCTCGTCACCTCCTGCCATCTCCACGTCAGCGTGACGTGGCACCCGCATCACCCCGCCGCCCGTCGGGGATCGCGGCGGCAATCGCGGCGCAGGCTGCGGCAGACGCGGCGGCGGCAATTCCGTCCGACGTGGACTCGGACGAAGAAGCGATGGGGATTGTAAACGCGCTGCGGCGGACGCGCAGCAACCCGCGATCTGCGCTGCCGTCGCGTCCGCCAGTGGTCTCTGCTGCGGGGAAAGGATCCGCGCAGACGTTGCCCTTAGTCCGGAGCGGTTCGCAAAAATCTGTTGACGTTTGTGGCCGTGGGGGAGGAAACGGTGCTGACGTGTACGCGTCTGGTGCTGGCTGCAGTAACGAGTACAGTGTAAGCTACAGTGAAAAAAGTCACGGTGGAAGTAAGTATAGTGAACTAAACTACAGTGATTACAGTGACGGCCAATTGCACAGAAACAGGAGCGCTGGTAGTTTGGTGAAAGGGAGGAGGTCACTGGACAGCACTCGAATTTCGTTGGATTTACGGAGTCAACACCGCAGTGGAGGGGAAACTGAAATTGTTATTTCCCCAATTTCTTCCGATTATTACGTTCCCCTGCAACGTCAAGGCTCTTCGGGCTGCAGGATGAGCCACGGGGCGGGTAGCACTGGGCGGCTGGCGAGTCTTCTGCCAGCGGAACGGACAAGGCCAAGCAGCATCCATGCTTTTGTTGATAGAAACGGTCCTGCTTGTAAGGTGGATTCCGAGAGTGGAGTGGGAAGGGAAGTGGGTGACGGGCCTAAGAGGAGTGGTGGGAAGGTTCGGAGGGAAGGGGGTAGAGTGAGTGAGGTTGGGAATATGAGTGAAGGGGGTGTGTGTGAGAGGACAAGAAGGTACGGACTTGGAAGGGGGGGAAGGGGGGAAGGAGGAGGAGGAGGAGGAGAAGGAGGAGGAGGAGGAGGAGGAGGAGGAGGAGGAGGAGGAGGAGGAGGAGGAGGAGGAGGAGGAGGAGGAGGAGGAGGAGGAGGAGGAGGAGGAGGAGGAGGAGGAGGAGGCGGCGGCGGAGGGGAAGGAGGGGGAGGGCCTGACACCCCAGCAGCTCTGCGGGATAGGTCGAGTGACTTACTTTGGGAAGCGGAGAGGAGAGAGGAGGAAAGGAGAGAGAGAATCAATGAGGAGATGCAACTGAGGGGATGGAGAGGTGTGGAGAGGTCTGTGGGGGAGAGGGAAGGTGTGGGCGGGAGTCGCAGCTTCACAATAGGTCGGAGCGAGAAGCTGGCTGGAGTGGCAGAGAGAGGCTTGTTGACTGACAGCCATGGCAGCCGCAGCTGCTCTTGGGTCAGAAGCAGTTCCATCAGTGGCAGCAGCAGTGGGAGCATCGGCATCGGCAAAAGCAGCAGCAGCAGTATCGGCATCGGCAAAAGCAGCAGCAGCAGTATCGGCATCGGCATCGGTGGCAACAGTGGCAGCTTTAGTGTTGCCAGCAGCAGTGGGAGTATTAAAATCAACAGCAGCGGCAGTAGCATTAGGAGCATCGATACGATTAGTAGGGTTAGCAGCAGCAGCAGCAAATGGTTTGTTCCTTCAGCCCCAGTAGGGTCTGCTGCAGCAGCAGCCGCTGCAGCAGATATTGACCTGGATGCTGCGTTTTCGATGCACAGTGCTGCTATACGAAGGAAACCGGGCGGTGAGTTTCGTCAAGAGTATGAATATGAGGATGCGGGAGAGGAGGTTCATGAGGGTGACGAGGGCACGGGTTATCTGAAGGAGGATGAGGATGTGTTTCAGGGTTTCGGAGTAACGAGCATGGACAGGTTGAATTGGAAGGAGGAGGTGCTAGCAGCAAGGGGCTTGGGCCGAAGAGGAGAAGCCGGGTACAGAGATACACACAGAATGCAGGGGCTTTCTGGCTTCAAGAAATACCTCCAGCATGCTGATATGGAGGATGAGGAGGATTTTGAATCTGGCGCTTGTCTGAAAAGCCGAAGCATGAGTGCAAGGACTTCTCGTGGGCACCTTTCGGTGGAGTGCGGTTCAGAGGTTGGTGAAAGCGACAGCAGATGCCATGCATACTATCAGGAGTGGAGGAGGCTGGAAGTTGATGGTAGGTTTGGGAAGGATCAGCAGGATTGCGAGGAAGGCTTTTGGTATGATGAGGAGAGGGAGAGGGTAGGATGGGGGGGACAAATTAGAAAATCGAGAACTGTTCCAATTGATCCTACTAGCGTATATAATCTGTAGGATATGGCAGAGCCTACAAGCCTTTGAGTCTTCTCTGCTTGAACTTGGTGCCTGCTAATGAGTTCCTATTGGTTCTGTTCATAACGAGCTAAAATTGAATGTTCTGCTTAGTTTTTTTGTTCTTTTCTTTTTTGTTATAAGCATAATTGGAGAACGCTAAACCGTACCGAGGTTCTTGCACCTTTGTGTGCCCCTCCCAGTCTGACTGCGGCGACATTTCCAGCCAGTAGTGGCCGTCGCAATCACCGCGTCGAGCTTCGTCACCGACAGTCCTACGCAGATCGACGCTTCTTGTTGAATGCGACGCCTGTCCAAGTTTTTCAGTCGCTATCGCGATTCGACGCTTGTCCCAAATCATCAGTGCTGTGCGACAAGTGTTCATGGGGAATGTTCCAAGTTCAAATCTCCAATAGCGGGAACAACCTGAGGCTCGTTCAGCGAGGGTCGCATGTGCATTCACGTACAGTATCGCTTTTTGGTACGTTTGAGAGCGAAGATGGAAAGATCTCTATTCTTACCGTCTGAAAACCCACTGAACCGTACCGGACGCTCAGGCGATTTAGCCATAGGACTCACTGGAGCTGTGGTGTCAAGTCAAGCCGGTGGAATGGTAGCGAGTTCAGAATGTGAGTGTGGTGTGCTCTTTGCTGACGCAATAGCTAGTTAGAAGGCTGGCTCTTAGTTGCTCGTTGTGGTTGATTCGAAGAGAGTTTGTTTCTAGAGAAAGAGAGTTTGTTTCTAGAGAACTTGTTTCCAGTTCGAGTTCCTACCCGACACGTATAGGTTGCATACGACTGGAGCGCAGGTATCAAGCTTGTATAGCTTCCTCCGAACTCTTTCTGTTAGCTCCTATCCCCGTGTCGCTCCTTCTGCCTGGCTCTTCACAAAACAGTGCAGTGATAGTTTGACACGTAGAAACTGTTGCGAACACTGCCCATGCGCCTCTAAACAGACCATCACCGACCTTTGGATTAGTAGTGCCATTTTTTTACCGTCCCAAAGGTAATAGACGCCAAAAAGGCCGCCGAAACGAAGGAGTCAGCGGGTTACGAAGCGAGGAGTCAGCGGGTTGCGAAGCGAGGAAGGAAAAAACATAGTGCGCTCATCTCTGGATACTTCTTTTCACGAAGAAACGAAACGCTCGCGAGTCGCCAGTGGTTACCTGACAATGGCTGACACTCGACGGCATCCGGGAAGGTTCCTCGCAGCACATTCGTACAATCACACCCTTCTACAGTCACGCATGTGCAGCTCGACACGGTCGCCTATGTTCCCGCTATTGCTCGTCATCGCTTTGCTTTGTTCACACTCGCCGAGCCTGGAAGCCGAAGCTGCTAGTCTGGTTCGGCAGGTGGTGAAGCTCGGGTTCCTGCTGCCGTATCCCAAAGCCGACAACGTCATCCCCGTGCGCCTTGCAGACGAATGGTACGCGTCTCCCCCAAAATCGCCTCTTTGTCATGGTTTTTGGAATTCCAGCATTCGTAAAAAAAACGCTTTTGATGCTGTATCGCAGAAAGCCGACAACGTCATTCCCGTGCGCCTCGCAGACGAATGGTATGGGCCTTGTTTAAGGTCGATTTGGAGGTCACACTAGGGCCCAAATAGGGCTCATACCGTGAGAAGAACTGTCCAGATTTGTGCTCGCGACCTCTCTATCTATATCTCTCACCCTCACCCTCTCACCCTCTCACCCTCTCGCTTTCTCTCCCTCTCATCCCTCTCACCTTCTCACCCCCCTCCTTCAGGATCGCAGCATCACGAGTGGCTCTGGAGGTGCTAGGACCGAAATACTCAGACTCTTTTGATGTGTTGCTGCACATCGCCAACTCGCACACACTGCCTGCCCAAGGGCTACCCCCACTCTTCTCCCACCTTCTCCTCCTCTCCCTCTCCCCATCGATGCCACACTCCAGGAGTGGCTCTGGAGGTGCTAGGACCCAAATACTCGGACGCCTTTGATGTGGTTCCGCACATTGCCCCTTCAACTGCCGTTCCCCCACCCATCATCACCCCCATCCTCCAGGATCGCAGCATCACGAGTGGCTCTGGAGGTGCTCGGCCCCAAATACTCGGACGCCTTTGATGTGGCTCCGCACATTGCCAACTCCAACTGTGACCGGCAGGAGGCCAAGGAGGCTGCGCAGGTAAGGGGAGGTGTGGGCATGAGGGGACCAGCATGTGCAGAGGCGTTCGAGTGCTTGGATGCCCATTCCATTTGATGTGGCGCCACACATTGCCAACTCCAACTGCGATAGGGAGGAAGCAAAGGAGGCTGCGCAGGTGAGAATGGGGGTGGGCGTGAGGGGACCAGCAAGCACAGAGGCCTTCCAATACTCGGCGCAGGTGAGGGGCGGGGTGGGCATGGCATGGGTATTTTGGGTCCTCCTTGAGTGGTCGAATGCCCATTCCATTTGATGTGGCGCCACACATTGCCAACTCCAACTGCGATAGGGAGGAAGCAAAGGAGGCTGCACAGGTAAGAGGTGGTTCTTGAGAATTCTAAAAAACCGGAGGTGGTTGGGTTGGGTGGGGTAAGCGCAGGGGCAGGGTGCGTTTGATGCTGGTACTAACCCTCTCCGCCCCTCTCCGCCCCCCTCCACTCCTGTCACTGTCTCTGCCTGTTACCCCTTGCAGCTCTTGCTAAGGGATGGGGTGGTGGGAGTGGTGGGACAAGCGTGCACTGAAGCATTGCCTGTTGGCAAGCCCATATGCTCACTCTCATGCCTAAATCTGTCTTTGCCTGACTCTCCGCCTTGCAGTTGCTACTGAGGGACGGGGTGGTAGGAGTGGTGGGCCCGGCGGGCACAGAGGCAGCTTTGGGAGCAGCAGACGTGCTGGTGTCTGCCGGTGTTCCCATAGTCTCCCCTTGCCCCTCTCCACCCCTCTCCGCCACTTTCCACCGTCTCTGCCTGTGCAGCTCCTACTCAGGGATGGAGTGGTGGGAGTGGTGGGCCCGGCATGCACGGAGGCAGCGTTGGGAGCAGCAGACGTTCTCGTGCCTGCTGGCGTTCCCATCGTCTCATTCGCTGCCACTTGGGATGGGTTCAGAGACCGGGAGAGATTCGGCAGCTTCTTCCGCACTGTGTGAGTCAAGTGCAGGCGGAGATCGGTTGGGCTGGGTTGAGCTGGGTTAAGGGGCGTTGTGCTGGTTACAGGGCACCACGTGGGGTGGGTTCAGAGACCGGGAGAGATTCGGCTCATTCTTCCGCACTGTGTGAGTCGAGAGGGTGTGTGGTGAATAAGGATTCGGCTGGATTGGGCTGAGCTGGGTTGAGAAAATTCAAGCGGCAGCACTGGGAGCATACCCCCCATTCCCCCACCATCCATTCCCACCATCCTCACAGCTTTGGCGACAGGCACCAGGCAGCAGCTATGCGCTCGCTCCTCCCTCTGCTGCACTCTTAGAATGCCTCTCCTCTTTGCATCCGCACACCCCCCCTCCCCCTCTCCCCTCCACAGCTTCGGTGACAGGCACCAGGCAGCAGCCATGCGCTCCCTGCTTCAGGAGTTCGTGTTTGATCGAGTCATTCTGTTCTTCACAGAGGATACGTACGGATCAGCACTAGGCTATGATATCGAGGTGAGCGGGGTGCACTTGGCTCCGCGCTTGCTTGTGTACATCCGGGCATGTATGGGTGCATGCTTGCATGGTTCTCTTTGTGTTTGACCGAGTCATCCTGTTCTTCTCAGAGGACACATACGGCTCAGCTCTAGGCTATGACATTGAGGTGAGCGGTGCGCTCGATTCTTTGGTTGCATGCTGCATGCTTTCATGACTGCATGTGTCCCGGTGTGTTTGAGCGAGTAATCCTACTTTTTCACAGAGGACACATATGGCTCAGCGCTAGGCTATGATATCGAGGTGGGTGGGGTGCACTTGTGTGCTTGCATGCATGTGTGCTTGCTTGTGCCCCCGTGTGCATGACTACGTACATGGGCCCCTTTGTGTGTGAGCGTGTCATTCTGTTCTTCACAGAGGACATGTTTGGCTCAGCACTAGGCTATGACATCGAGGTGAGATTTGTTGGTGTACGCAGAGCAGAGGCGTTGTGACAGGCACGTTGGTGTGTTTGATCGAGTCATTCTGCTCTTTAAGCAAGCCTACTACAAGATTTTTTTCAAGCTAAAACTAAACTATGGTAGTGTACATGTTTTTGAGTCGACTCAAAATATGGTAGTGTACATGTGTGCATGAGTGTATGCTTGCGAAACTGCACGCCTGTACCCGTGCACCACAGCCTGAATTTTGAGACGTCTCAGTACCCGTGCACAATAACCTAACAATTCCAGTCACAATGACAACCTCCTCACAGTGCACAGCATACCCGTCCCAATGCCCTGCTCCAAAACTCCCCTCTCCACTCTCTCCCCCTTCTTATCCTTCCCACCCCACCCTTCAGTACTTTGCTCACAATAGCAACCTCCTCACAGTGCACAGCATACCCGTCCCAGTGCCCTCCTCCAACCTCTCCACTCTCTCTGTTGCTTGGTGTCCCCAGCATAACTCCCCACACCTCCCCCTTTTTCGGTTTCTGCCTTTCCCTCAGTATTTCGCGCGCAGTGACAACCTGACAACCCGTCCCAGTGCCCTGCTCGAGCAATTCTTCTCTATGCTCGATGCCCCTCAGTCCACCCCTTTCGCCCTCTGGCCTCCCCCCCACTCCATCCCCTCCCTCCAGTATTTCGCTCGCAGTGACAACCTGACAGTCCACAGCATACCCGTCCCAGTGCCCTGCTTTTGCAATTCTTCTCTATGCTCGATGCCCCTCAGTCCACCCCTTTCGCCCTCTGGCCTCCCCCCCCTCCATCCCCTCCCTCCAGTATTTCGCTCGCAGTGACAATCTGACAGTGCACAGCATAACCGTCCCAGTGCCCTGCCTCAACTACTCCTCGCTCCTCCTCAACCTCTCCGACCCGAGCCCTTTCAAGCCGCTCCTGCAAGCTAATGAAGTCACATGTCCCCTGTTCCCTACCCTTCCCTCCAGTACTTCGCGCGCAGTGACAATCTGACAGTCCACAGCATACCCGTTCCGGTGCCCTGCCTCAACTACTCCTCCCTCCTCCTCAACCTCTCCGACCCAAACCCTTCCAAGCCGCTCATTCAATCCGATGACTCCACAGTGGTGGTCCTAGCGGTCTCACCCAACGCAGCTGAGGGCTTTTGGCGCGCTGCACTAGACCTGGTGAGTGCCACTGGTAAGAACCCCTAGTGATCCACGCCCCTCCAAGCCGCTCATTCTCACCCAACGCAGCTGAGGGCATCTGGCGCGCTGCTCTAGACCTGGTGAGTGAAGAGCAGTGCTGACGAAATCGCCTTACGAATTCCCCTCAGTATCTGCTCTCCTCAACCTCTCCAATTCGGGCCCTTCCAAGCCGGTGACTCCACGATTGTGGTCCTACCCGTCTCGCCCAACGCAGCTGAAGGCATTTGGAGGGCGGCTCTAGACCTGGTGAGTGGAGCAGTGGCTGATGAAAACTCCGCAGAGCCTAGTGTGTACCTGAATTCCCTTGAGAAACTGCCCCCTCCATGCTCCTCCGAGCCGCTCATTCATTCCAATGACTCCACGGTTGTGGTCCTCACCGTCTCGCCCAACGCAGCTGAAGGCATTTGGAGGGCGGCACTAGACCTGGTGAGTGAAGAGTAGTGCTGATAAGACCGCCTTACGAATTCCCCTCAGTATCTGCTCTCCTCAACCTCTCCAATTCGGGCCCTTCCAAGCCGGTGACTCCACGGTTGTGGTCCTACCTGTCTCGCCCAACGCAGCTGAGGGGATATGGCGCGCTGCATTAGACCTGGTGAGTAAGTGAAGGGTTTCAGTGTCCCTCCCGGGGACCCAATCCCTTCCAAGCCTATCCAAGCGGATGACTCCACAGTGGTGGTGCTTGCCGTCTCGCCCAACGCAGCCGAGGGGATATGGCGCGCTGCTCTTGCCTTGTGAGAGATACCCCTTGGGAAGCATGGAGTAGGGGGCGCTGTTGTAACAGTGTGCTCCTCCAAGCCACTCATTCAAGCCAGTGACTCCACAGTGCTGGTGCTTGCCGTCTCACCCAATGCAGCTGAAGGCATCTGGCGTGCTGCTCTAAACCTGGCGAGTTGAGAAGTGCTGCCTAGAATATACTTGAAATCCCTTGGAAATCTGGTGTTTCCAAGTCCCTCCAAGCCGCTCGTCCAAGCCCATGACTCCACAGTGGTGCTGCTTGTTGTCTCACCCAATGCAGCCGAGGGGATATGGCGTGCAGCTCTATACCTGGTAAGTGATGTCCCCTTCAAATCTGGTCTCTCCAATTCCTTTTGAGTCAACTCAAAAGTTGACTTTTTTAATTGACTCAAAAGTCAGCTCTAGACCTGGTGAGTGATATCCCCTTCAAATCTGGTCTCTCCACGCCCCCCCACGCCCCTCCACGCCCCTCCACGCCCCTCCACGCCTTTTGAGTCGACTCAAAAGTCACCTCTCCAATACCCTCCACGCCCCTCCACGCCCTTTCAAGCCCCTCACTCATTCACCAGGTTCCCCGTTCTTCCTCCCCCCTCTTGAGGAAACCACGTCTAGTTTTGAGGCGCATCAAAACTAGGCCTCCACGCCCCTCCACGCCCCTCCACGCCCTTTCAAGCCCCTCACCCATTCACCAGTTTCCCATTCGTCCTTGCCCCCCCCTTGCGGAAACCACGTCTAGTGTTTGAGGCGTCTCACAACTAGGCCTCCACGCCCCTCCACGCCCTTTCACGCCCTTTCAAGCCCCTCGCTCATTCACCAGGTTCCCTGTTCTTCCTCCCCCCCCTCTTGCGGAAACTACACCAGGGTCGATTGGAATATCCTTGGTGGTATTTTGGCACGGATGGAGCAGTGGCATTCGACCTGGTGGGGGAAGGTGAGACGATGGTAGCTGGGGAGCAGTGGCATGGCATGATTTTTGAGGTGTTGGAATACCCTTGGTGGTACTTCGGGACGGATGGAGCAGTGGCATTCGATCCTGTGGGGGAAGGTAAGCCGGGGGATCCGGAGAAGGGGGAAACTGGGGGAGGGGGATACTGGGAAACCACCAGGGTCGGTTGGAATACCCGTGGTGGTATTTCGGCACGGATGGAGCAGCGGCATTCGATCTTGTGGGGGAAGGTGGGCAGGGGGGGTCGGGTCAGTGGTTTCATTTGCCTGCCCCGTGCGGGCCGACCCGACCCGACTGTGGCTAAAACCCGAGCATGGAACTCGGGCTAAAACCCGAGCATGGAACTCGGGCTAAAACCCGAGCATGGAACTCGGGCTAAAACCCGAGCATGGAACTCGGGCTAAAACCCGAGCATGGAACTCGGGCTAAAACCCGAGCATGGAACTCGGGCTAAAACCCGAGCATGGAACTCGGGCCGAGTCGGGTCGGGTTTCGGGTCAGTCTTGACCCGACCGAAATTCGGGTCAGGACCAGGAGCCCGACCCGATTTCGACACACTGGGGACGAAACCCTAGGTCAAATTGTTGTAGAGGGGTTTTTTATCCCCTCGACATCAGAACCTACCCACGCTCTCAATCTTGCCTAATGGCAGCAAGCAAGTCACCTAAGCTTAGAAACTACTTAGTTACCACCCGTTCAAACCTCATTGATAGGCATTCATAGCTAGTTTACTATCGTATCCTGCTGTTCACGGAAAATCGCGATGCAGGAATGGCGTTTTTTTACAGCATCGCGTTTTACTAGCGATACTTCAATTCTCAGGCTGCACGCTTCGTTTTAGGCCAGCAGTTGCTCATAGGCGCGCCAGCAACTAACATTGCACCATTTCGTAGAGGTTCTTAGGGGCCATCCTGGGCGGGTCATCCTGGCCCTGCCCGACCCGACCCGTGACCGGGTCCAAGTTGACCCGAGTGTGTAGGACCGAGTCGGGCCAGAACCTTCAGCACCCTGGCCCGAGGTTGGCCCGACCCGACCTGACCCGGGAGCCCGTGTGGCCCGGCCAAGTCGGGTCGGGTCGGGTCGGGTTGGGTTGGGTGGACGCTCATCTCTATGGGGAAGGTGAGTTGAGGGGTCTAGTGAGGTGTGGCCTAGCATGGCTGGCTGCTGAGGTGGTGGAAATTGGAATATCCGTGGTGGTATTTCGGCACGGATGGAGCAGTGGCATTCGATCTTGTGGGGGAAGGTGAGCAGGGGGGAACTGGAAAAAAATAGAGAAGGTGAGACGAGGGGTCTAGGGAGCAGTGGCATGGCATGATTGCTGAGGTGCTGGAATATTCCTGGTGGTGTTTTGGGATGGATGGAGCAGTGGCATCCGATCTTGTGGGGGAAGGTGAGCAGGGGGGGACTGGGGAGCAGTGGCATGGCATGATCACTTAGGTGTTGGAATATCCGTGGTGGTATTTCGGCACGGATGGAGCAGCGGCATTCGACCTTGTGGGGAAGGTGAGCAATACGGGAACCAAGGCCAGTCAGGAAAAGGGAAAAATAGCGGGTGAGTTGTACTGCGTCGTGTTTTGAGTCGACTTATATTGAGTGAGCTGTACTGCCCACTCTTGTCTCGTCTCCTCTCCTGCTTTTGAGGCGCCTCAAACGGTGAGCAATAAGGGAGCTACATACGTGCCAAGTGCCAGTCAGGAAAAGGGAAAAATATTGGGTGAGCTGTACTGCCCATTCTCGTCCTGTATCCTCTCCTGTTTGTGTCCCAACCTTGCTATATTGAGAATCTCGAAAAGCGATTCTCAAAAACGATTCTCTAAAGTGACTCGTAGAAGCAGCTCATCCTCCTCACCTCACTTCTCCTGCTTGTATCCCAACCTCGCTATATTGCCGTCTGACGATTCCGAAAGGCGGTTCGCAAATGTGACTCGTAGAAGCGACTCATTCTCCTCACTCTCCTGCTTGTGTCCCAACCACTCGTCCACCAATGCATATCGTTTTTTAGGCGCCTCTTAGAAGCGAATCGTTAGAAGCAACTCATTCTCCTCTCTTCTCCTGCTTGTTTCCCAACCTCCCGACCGCCACTGCAGGCCAGAACCTGACAGCCTTAGCGTCAGCACTGCAAGGGGAGATGGGGGTCGCCCCTTACAGTAAGTGCGGAGTGAATAAAATGAAGGCGTGTCAACATGGCGCTTCTGAGGTATCTTGAGAATACTTTTGACTTTTGAGTCGACTCATAAGTCACCTCGATACCATGGCACACTAAGTGCGGAGTGAATATAATTAAGATAGGCGTCAGCATGGTGCTTCTCAGGTATCTTGAGAATACTTTTGACTTTTGAGTCGACTCAAAAGCAGATTCTTACAGTAAGTGGAGACTAAGAATTAAGATCAGAATGGCGTCAACATGGTGCTTCTTTTGAGGCGCCTCAAACGAAAGGCGTCAACATGGTGCTTCTTTTGAGGCGCCTCAAAAGATAGGCGTCAACCTGGTGCTTCTCAGGTATCTTGAGAATACACTACTGCAGGTCAGAACCTGTCAAAACCTGGTTTTTGAGAATTCTGAAAAAAGTCAGAACCTTTCAAAACCTAGCAGTATTATGGGGATTACTCCTTACAGTAAGTGAAGCTACCAACTGCGTGGAATATTTCTTTACCAGGAGAGCACATAATGCATTAGCAGTCCAAGCGGCATGACACCTACCCTGTTCCACGTTCATATGACCCCCCCCTGTTGCCCCCAACCTCCATTGTACAGGGGGAGACTATTCAGATTCCTCCCCTCTATGCGCTCTATGGGAGTACATAACGCACTGGCGGACCAAGCGCCATGACATCTACCCGGGTTTGCTCACTCTCGACGTCGGGCCCACCTCTACCCCTCCCTTCTGCCTATGTCATTCATTCCCTCGCTTACAGAGGGAGACTACTTGGACTCGTCCCCTGTACGGGAATATATAATGCACTGGCGGACCAAGCGCCATGACATCTACCCGGGTTTGCTCACTCTCGACATCAAGCCCCCCCTGTCCCCCGCTTCTCCCCACCCTGTACTGCCCCCATTACCCACTCCTCCTATCAGAGGGAGACTACTCGGGCTCCTCCCCCATATGGGAATACATAATGCACTGGCGGACCAAGCGCCATGACATTTACCCTGGCTTGCTCACTCTCGACGTCGGGCCCTCCCTCCCGCGCTTCAACTCCACCCGCCAATACGTGCCGTACCTCTTTGACGCCGTTCACGCCTTCTTTGAAGCTTTCAGGAGCATTATTGCCAACCAGAGTGAGTGTCTTGGTGGGTGGGGTGCGGGGTTGGCTTGGGTCCCTCTCTCCCTGCCCCACATTTCCGCTCGTTCACTCCCGCGCTTCAACTCCACCCGCCAATACGTGCCGTACCTCTTTGATGCCGTTCACTCTTTTTTCGAGGCCTTCAGCAGCATTATTGCCAACCAGAGTGAGTGTCTTGGTGGGTGGGGTGTGGAGTTTACTTGGATCCCTCTGTCCCTGCCCCACCTCACTCTCCCCCGCTTCAACACCACCCGCCAATACGTGCCGTACCTCTTTGATGCCGTTCAATCTTTTTTCGAGGCCTTCAGCAGCATTATCGCCAACCAGAGTGAGTGTCTCGGTGGGTGGTGTGTGGGGATACCACCATCCGATGAGGGGATGACTAGGGACTTTCTCCCCTTCCTCCCACCTCACTCCCCCGCTTCAAATCCACCCGCCAATACGTGCCGTACCTCTTTGACGCCGTTCACGCCTTCTTTGAAGCTTTCAGGAGCATTATTGCCAACCAGAGTGAGTGTCTTGGTGGGTGGGGTGTGGGGATGGCTTGGGTCCCTCTCTCCCTGCCCCACCTTCCCCCACCTCACTCTCCCCCGCTTCAACACCACCCGCCAATACGTGCCGTACCTGTTCGATACCATTCACCCCTTCTTTGCTTGTATCGCTAGCCGACTTTTGAGTCGACTCAAAAGTCGTATCGCTTCTGAGAGCTCTCAAAAGTGTCCAATATTCTTTCCACGTGTGTGTGTCTCCAATTCGCAGACACAGCACCCACTAAGGAGCTTGTGCTGGCGTGCTTTAAAGGCGTGCCGCAAGGATGCATCAACTTCACGGGAACCACAGGGCAGGTGAGGAGGGCAAGGGTCAGTGAATGTGTGTGTTCCATGTATGTTTCTGCAACTGCAAGTATTTTTGAGACGTCTCAAAAATACCCTCTCAGCAAGGGTCAGAGTACGTGTGTGTTCCATGTATGTTTCTGCAACTGCAAGGGACACTTGAGCTGGGAAGGGGTGTGCTGACGTGCTTTCGAGGCGTGCCGCAAGGATGCAATGTCTTCATGGGGATGACTCGACGACAGGTGAACGGCTCATGTTTGTAGCCCCTCCGACCGACCGCATTGCTCCAGGGTATTTTTGAGATTTCTCAAAAATACCCTGCAGCATCATGACTCGACTGCAGGTGAACGGCTCAAGTCTGTAGCCCCTCCGGCCGACCGCATTGTGGTTTTGAGACGTCTCAGTTGTCCCCCCACCGCCCCCATCCATCCCTCCACCACAACCAGGTCTCATTCACCCCAGCTACAGGCGAGCGATTGAAATCTGTGGCCCCTCCGACCCACCGCATTGCAAATCTGGAGGGCGTGACGTGGCAGGAGAAGGCCCACTGGGAGGAGCGGCACGTGGAGCGCTTCACTCTCTCTCACTCCCCTCCCATACCCGTACCCGTCCTCCCATCACCAGGTATCCTTCAACCCAGCTACAGGCGAGCGCTTGAAATCTGTGGCCCCACCGACCTACAGCATTGTAAATCTTGAGGGCGTGATGTGGCAGGAGAAGGCCCGCTGGGAGGAGCGGCACGTGGAGCGCTTCACTCTCGACCTCACTCAAATCTCCCGCCCGGGTCCTCTGCCCGGTGCTGCTGCTGGTGCTGGTGCTGGTGGTGGCGGTGGCAGTGGTGGTGGCGGTGGTGGTGCTGGCAATGGCAGTGCAGCAGGGGTGAAAGAGGCAGGTGACTACTCAGCTCCTGCTGCGTTTGATGCCTTGAATCAGGTCAGTGGGGAGATCGGGGACTTTGGAGTGAAGAGCCAAGCTGAGGCGGCAGGCGATAGCAGCAGCAGTGGTAGCGGCAGTGGTAGCGGCAGTGGTAGCGGCAGCAGCAGCAGTGGTGGTGGTGCTACTGGCGGCAGCAACAGTGACACGGGCCCTTCAACTGGTTCCTCGATGCCTGGTTATACCATCGCTCTGCTTGTTCTCCTTTCTCTCATGCTCCTGTGCCTTGTAACGTACCTGGCTTGTATGGGGTACAGCAGTTGGAGGAGCAGGGAGGAGGAGGGGGACGGGCAGCAGCAGCTGTATGGGGGATCATCTGGAGGTGATGTGTATTTGGCAGGCTTTAAGGGAGGAGAGGTGGGGGGAGAGGAGTATGTGCGGAGGTATAATGGAGATGGGGAGTGGATAGGTGGGGGGAGTTGGGCCGGGGGATTTGGGTTAGGGAGTGGGTTCGGAAGTGGGTTTGGCTTTGGGGGTGGGGGTGGGGGTGGGGGTGGGGGTGGGGGGATTGGTGGGGATGAGGAGTTGGTTCTGGGTGAAGGGAAGGTGGACGGAAGTGGGAGGAAGGGAGGAGATGGAGGGGATGGAATGGTAGATGCTAGCATGGACGATGTGGATACTGCTGCTGCTGACGAGGGTCATCATAAGCAAGTGTGGGTGCATATGCTATAGTATCAAAAACTGCCGTATGTGCGGTCATGTATACGTGTTTATAGTTTGTACAGTTTGCAAGTGATGTGTGTGCAAATGTACATGACGTGCGGGCATGGCTTGTTACAATAGTGTGCTTGTGAGTGGGCCTTTGCGATTCTTTGATTAGATAGCCTAAAAGAATATATTTAGATGAGCAAAGAGAATGAATTATCATGTTCCCAACTACCGTATTTGAAAGCCATCTGCTACATGTATGCACATGTTAGCAAGTCAGGTATTCAGAGCCAGACTAGAATGTCACTTATTGAACAGCTTATCAAGTCACTTTTCCATTAAGACAATCGGGATATGTTCTAACGAGACAATCTAGTTCTGCCCCGCTGTCCTGCTTTTTGCCGCGTTGCTTCCCCGTACCCTCCCTGACAGCCCAGCGCATTCTGGATGTCGGCGGCGTCACTCGAAGGGAGCTGTCCCTATGCGGGACAGCTCACCGTTTGCGCGGCCTGGAAACGCCCCTTCACCCCTCGAAAACGCCGTACCATTCCTGAAACCACTCTTCGACCAACCCCAACCTGTCGCGGAGGTTGGGCGCAGGAAACCAGGAAAATCACCCCCTTGACTGGTGCAGCGCGCGGAGGACCATTCAGGCGAGGAACAGTTCATAATTGCCTGAAAGTTGATATCCGTTATGCCTTTCCCGCAGGCAAGATTAGCACTCAGCACTTCACCATAACCCCGCCTTCAGACCGACTCGGTTATTGCATCAACGCGTCGTAGTTTACCATGGCTGCTCTCGCGTCGGTCTCTGCTGCTGCTCTCTCGAGCTCGTTCGTCCAGACTTCTTCGCTGAAGTTGTCTGCGAAGCCCGTCAATGTTCGCAGCACCCGTGCTGTCCGCATCGTGGCTATGGCCCAGCCTGATCTGAAGAAGGAGATTCAGGAAAAGATCGCTGCTGCTCAAGAAACCTGCTCCGATCCGAACTCCACCGCTGAGTGCGCTGCTGCGTGGGATGAGGTGGAGGAGATCTCAGCTGCCGCTGCTGATCAGGCTTTGAAGCAGAAGGCAGCAGATTACGAGGACCCCCTTGAGAAGTACTGCAACGAGAATCCCTCTGAGGATGAGTGCAGGATCTACTCTGACTGAGCGATCGACTGGTAGTTTACATGTGGGTTTTTAGTCAGTCAGATTAGCCTAGCCATGATGTCCATAGGCGGATCTTTACTTGGCAAGGGCTGAGCTATGCCTGTTCGTTTTTCTGTTCATGAATAACTTTTGGTTTGATCTGACAGGCCAGTTCACAATGGTAGTGAAGGCTACCAGTATGTCCTCTTCGTAAACACAATAGGCGTTGCGGTTTCAGGGTGTTGGTGCCGTCCAATTTGTTGGGTCTCTTGTTGCCACTCTCAGCAGCTGAATTGAAGCAGGGGAGGAACGTAGTTTTTATCAGAGGCACATCACTCACCAGCTCTTACATCAATGTACCTGATTAATAAGTTCATCATCAACGCCTACTGATGATTTCATCACCAGCGCCGTGCCCGGGTTCTGGAAGATAATTTAGTTCTCATGCTGCTGCTTCTCGTAATATTTCCGGTTCCTGAGATGATTGTATATCGTGTCAAATGTTATATTTGTGATAGGCTGTACTGAGTTGCTCCTTAGGGAGTACAACACTTTGTTAGGTATCCTACTTGTGTGCTTTCACAACGCTAATCCACTCATTCTGCTAAGCTACTTTGAGATGGTATTACGCTAGGTTACCTTCTAGGACCTCCGCGCCCCTAAGCGCCCTCTCGCCCGCGCCCCTAAGCGCCCTCCAGCCCGCGCCCCCTAAGCGCCCTCCAGCCCGCGCCCCTAAGCGCCCTCCAGCCCGCGCCCCTGAGCGCCCTCCGGGCCGCGCCCCTAAGCGCCCTCCAGCCCGCGCCCTTAAGCGCCCTCCAGCCCGCGCCCCTAAGCGCCCTCCAGCCCGCACCTTAGGCGCTCTCGCGACCGCGCCCTAGGCGCCTGCCCGTTCGCGTCCTAGGCGCCCACCACCACGCCCCTCAGGCGCCCGCCACGTTGCACCTCAGGCGCCCGCCACGTCACGCCTTAGGCGCCCGCCACGTCGCGCCTTAGGCGCCCGCCACGTCGCGCCTTAGGCGCCCGCCACGTCGCGCCTTAGGCGCCCGCCACGTCGCACCTCAGGCGCCCGTCCCGTCGCGCCTTAGGCGCCCGCCACGTTGCGCCTTAGGCGCCCGCCACGTCGCGCCTTAGGCGCCCGCCACGTCGCGCCTTAGGCGCCCGTCGCCCAGCGCCTTCGGCGCCCGCCAGCCAGCACCTTAGGCGCCCGCCAGCCAGCGCCTTAGGCGCCCGCCAGCCAGCGCCTTAGGCGCCCGCCACTTCGGGCCTTAGGCGCCCGCCCTCGCCTAAACCGCCCTATACCGCCCTTCAACCGCACTCAACCGCCCTAAACCGCCCTAAACCGCCCTAAACCGCCGCAAACCGCCATACACCGCACTCAACCGCCCTAAACCGCCCACACCGTTCGTTGCAAACCCTAGCCCCACCACTACCTTGTGCGCGGGGCCCTTCACAGCCCTACTGCCATCGGACTACCATTCAGCGGCTGGTAGCTGCTCTCTCTCCCGCCGGTAGCGTAGGTTAGAGTAGGGTCCGCACTAGTGCCTCCTTCGCTCCTAGTGTTCGCAGCCGTTTCTCTCCCTAGCTCTCCAACTGGCGCCTCTCGCCCTCAGTGCCAGTCCTCCACGTTCCTAGCTCCGCCTCTAGCATCCTCCTCGTTTCTAACTCCGACTCTGCCGTGCTCCAGCCGCCTTTAGCATGACGTCCGCTATGGAGTCCCGTCGCCTCCGTTTCGACGCGGAGGGACGCCCGATCGAGTTCGGTACCTGGCGGCGTCAGACCACGCGCTTCCTCACCAGTCAGCGACAGGACAACGCCACTCTGTGGGCTCACGCGTCTGGTGCCCTCCAGGAGCCCCCGTCCCCCGCCGCCCTGCCGACCACCTCGGAGCCGACCCCTACGGCCCGGGCGGAGTACGAGCGTCGGGTCCTGGCCAGGGACGTGTGGCTCTCGCGTGACGCTGCCGCCGCCCTCACACTGACGGAGCTTCTCCCGCCGACTGAGGCCGCCCACTTTGACCAGGTGGAGACAGCCAAGGGGGTTTGGGATGCTATTGTTGCCCGCTACTCCACCCCCTCCTCTGCCTCCCTCAGTCGCATCCTGATGCCGTTTGTGTTCCCCGACCTAGGCTCGTTTGCGAGTGTGTCTGACCTTGTGACCCACCTCCGCTCGCTTGACGCTAGTTTCCGTGCGGCCTGTACCGACGAGCAGCTTCTAGCGGCTCCCCCCCCCTTGTGGCTCACTGTGCACTGGTTAGTCACCCGCCTCCCTGACCGCCTTGCCACTGCCCGCGACGCGCTCCTGCAGCAGCACCCCACTGAGCTCACCATCGATCTCCTTGAGACCGCTCTCGGGAAGATCGAGAGCAGCCTCCTCACCGTTGCCTCCGCCACTGACGCGGTGGCTCCCCGTCTCTTTGCGGGGTGTGCCGCCCCCCAGCTTCCCACGTTCACTGCTACCCGTCCTTCTGCTGTTGTGTCGGTTTCTGAGGACACTGCTGCCGTTTCTGCCGCAGACTGGCAGAAACGGGGCAAGAGCGGCAAGAGGGGCGGTAGGGGGGGAGGTGGAGGCGGTGGAGGCGGCGGTGGAGGTGGCGGTGGTGGGGGGGGCGGCGGCGGCAGCGGCGGCGGCGGCAGTGGTGGTGCACCGGGAGGAGGGGGCCCTGGAGGAGGTGCAGGACAGACAGGCCCGCCTACTGGTGGTGGTCCGACCGGTGGGGGTGGACAGCAGCAGCAGTCACAGCAGCAGCAGCCACAGCAGGTGCAGCAGCAGCAGCAGCCGGGACAGCAGCAGCAGCAGGCACAGCAGCAGTTCCAGCAGTGGGGCCCTCCGCTACAGTGGGGTCCGCAGCAGCACTGGGGTCCCCCGCCACAGTGGGGTCAGGGAGGCCCAGGGAGCACCGGCCGCAGCAGCAGCACTTCCAGCTGGGCCCCTCGTCCCCCTCGCCGTGACGGGGGCCCCTGCACCCATTGGTGCCTCACCGGGCCGGGCAGCCCCTGCCTCTGTGGTCGCGACGACCACTCTGCCGCGCGGTGCTTCCGCCGCCTCGACGACCTCTACCGGGCTCGCTGGGACCCTCAGGCGGTCACGCCTCGCTGGTCTCGTCTGTTAGCCCGTAAGATTGATGTATTTGATCTGTCCATGGACGATGCGTGTCAGCATGCTTTGTTTGTTGATGCTGACTTTAGTGCTGATGGATCTGTTTGCTCGCGTGTTCGTAGGTTAGCCTGCTTGCCTCCTGCTAGTGTAGCCTTGTGCCTGTCTAGCTTAGGTGCTTGTGTTGCTGCTCTAGGTGCTTGTGTAGCGACTGAGTCAGGTGACCCTCCGGCTGAGGCCTCTCTGTCGTTCACGCTGGACTCGGGCGGGTCTCAGTGCTTCTTCCGAGACCACACGACCCTTACCCCACTCCTCACACCTGTGTCGGTGGCTCTGGCTGATCCTACCTCAGGACCAGCCGTTGCGCGCAGCTCCACCACCCTCCCCTGCCCTGTGGTCCCCTCTGGTGTCCTGCGCGGCCTCCACATCCCCTCGTTCACTCGGAACTTGGTGGGTGTTGGATACCTCCAGGACAGGGGGATCACGGTTACCTTCGTGGGGGGTGGGCGGACTGCAGTCTGTACAGACGCTACCACAGGTGCTGTTCTGGCCACGTTCACCCGGGAGCCCCGCTCCGGTCTCTACGTCCTCCACACCGAGCGCTCCCCGGTCGCGTCCTCCCCTCAGGTCGTTGCGTCCCCTCCGGCCCAGGTCCCCAGTCCAGTTGCTGTGTCTAGCCAGGTAGTAGTGTCCGGTCCGGTCGCTGTGTCCAGCCCCGTCGCTCCTGTCGCTCTCTCACCCACCGCACCATCCTGTGGCACCACCGCCTTGGCCACCCGTCGCTCCCTCGCCTACGTGGCATGCTCAGTCAGGGACTTGTCTCAGGTCTCCCACGCACCTTCCCGTCGCTCCCTCTCTCGCCTGCCCCTCCTTGCTCTCCGTGCGTCGCCGGTCGCTTACGCGCCACTCCCCACTCCTCCTCCCTTCGTCCGGCCACCGCTCCCTTTGAGACTCTCCACTTGGACGTCTGGGTCCCTGCCCCGACACAGGGGTCCGGGAGGGAGCGCTAATTTCTGGTGGTCGTCGACGACTTCTCCAGGTACACCACAGTGTTCCCTCTTGCAAAGAAGTCCGAGGTGACTGCTACGCTGATCAGGTGGCTTTTGGCCACTGAGGGCACTCGTGGTCGTCGAGTCAGTTGTCTCCACTCCGACCGAGGGGGCGAGTTTTGCTCCGGCATTCTTGCCGGATTGTGCGGCGAACAGGGACGCTGCCAGAGTCCCCACAGCAAAATGGGGTTGCTGAGCGCCGCATTGGCATGGTCATGGACATTGCTCGCACGTCCATGATTCACGCCCGTGCGCCCCATTTTCTGTGGCCCTACGCGGTTCGCTACGCCGCACACCAGCTGAACCTCCAGCCGCGTGTCTGGCGGCCCGAGGCTTCACCGACCAGTCTTTGGACTGGTTCCCCTGGTGTTGGGTCGGCCTTTCGAGTCTGGGGCTGCCTTGCGCAAGTCCGCGACACCTCTGCGGACAAGCTCTCGGCACGCGCCATCGATTGTGTCTTCCTTGGGTTCCCGGTCGGCTCTGCTGACTGGACCTTTTACCACCCTCCCCTGCACCAGTTCCTAGACTCCCGTGACGTCCGGTTTGACGAGTCCGTGTCCTACTACACCCGGTACCCCTGTCGAGGTCTCCCGGTACCCCCTCCCCCTCTTTTCCTCGCACCCTCTCCTCCTCCTGCTCCCGCCCCTCCGGTACCCCCGCCCCCTCCTGGTCCTGCCCCGTCTGGTGTGTCCCACGTTACCCCTCTACCCTCGGTCGCGCGTCAGGTAGCGTCTCCCTCCCCACAGTCCTCCTCACAGTCCCCTCAGCAGCCTTCGGCACTTCCGCGACAGGTTACTGTGGACTCGGTTGGTGTTGGAGCTGGAGGTGCAGCCGCTGGAGGTGCTCGGTCTGGGGGTACTCGGTCGCGGGGTGCTGGAG